CCTAATCACCTAGATTGCAAATATTGATATTTCTAAAATATTAAAATATTAAAGATGACATATCATGAAAATCTGACTTTTCCAGGTTTTAAGTGCTATAATCAGGTCCCTGGTGCATCGTCTGTATTAATTTGAATTTGGGATCATCACTCGAGATATCTAAAAATTCTGAAACCTGTGAAAATGTATTTATATTCATTTTAATTTAACTTTTATACACATTTTATGTAAAATTTTACATTAAATGTGTATAAAATAAAATAAAAGAATTGATTGATTTTTATTTAAAGGGGTCATATGATGCGATTTCATTTTTTCCTTTCTCTGTGGAGTGTTACAAGCTCTTGGTGCATAAAGAAGATCTGTAAATTTGCAAAGACTAAAGTCTCAAATCCAAAGAGAAGTTTGGTGTCAGTTATCCGTTTATTTATTTAATTATTTATTGGAAAGATATTAATAATGACAAAAGATTTCTGTCAAATAAATGCTGTTCTTTTGAACTATCCATTCATCAAAAAATTCTGATAAACAGAAAACTATTAAGCAACAACTGTGTTCAACATTTTTTTTCAACATTGATAATAATAAGTAATGCTTCTTGAGCATTAAATCAGCATATTAGAATGATTTCTGAAGGATCATGTGACACTGAAGACTGGAGTAACGATGCAGAAAATTCAGCTTTGCCATCACAGGAATAAATTACATTTGAAAATATATTCAAATAGAAAACCATTACTTTAAATAGTAATAATATTTCACAATATTACTGTATTTACTATATTTTTTATCAAATAAATGCAGCCTTGGTGAGCATAAGACACTTCTTTTTAAACATAGGCTATAAAGAATTTACCAACCTAAGACTTTTGAACGGTAGTGTAAACAAGAATAAATACAAAAGATATTTTAAGAGAACATCTCACTCTCACGCTAACACACAGGAAACACAAATCTAAATGGAAACATCTCTGTATAGTGAACACAGCTATGCAAGTGTTCAAGGGCAGAGACCCCATTTAAAGGCCTTCTTTACCAACATTTTCCTTTCCTCTAAATAAAGCTCTGGATCACATACGTAACCCTGTCATCTTCCTCCTCTCTGTACCGAGCTTTATGTTGCATTAGTGGCCATATTATCAACACTAGGAAAACTGTACTATATTTGAGTGCCAGTGCGGCTTCAGGCGACGAGAAAAGCAACATTAACATGAGTGGAAAAAATGAAAAACAGGTAAACAGGTCTATGACAGGGCGGGAGAGAAAGAAAATAATCTTTCAGCACAATTTTGAGCTTGTCTAGAGGAAAAACACACTAATTATACATCAAAACGTAACATATAAATCCAAACAAAACACACATTTGGACACACAGGTGAAAATGTGTTCAGAAGAGAATTTCTGCACTCCAGTCTAACCTAATGCTTTTTAATGAATCTTATTTTCATGGAGCTCAAACCCTTGAATATTATCAAAAATAGTAATTCATTATTTTGGTCCAGATCTTACAATTAATAATTCATACGCAAGACAGCTCCAGGCAATGTTTACAGGGTAAGGCTTGAAAGCACTTTGAAATTCTCAAGATATCGGCTGAAGCGTGTGAGCAAACATCAGAAAGTTTGCTAACTTTCGGCTATAAAGATGTTCTAAACTTCTGCATAATGAAGTCTTTGAAAAATGCATCTAGTAAACACCTCTCAAAACACAAAAACCAAAAAAGTCCTTTCCACATTTGCGCTCAAAGGAAGAACAAGTCCTTCCAAAGCCATGATGAGGCAAAAGTGAACACTGTTGAATGACCACCACCGCAAGGTCGAGCTAGCAACCCAAAATGCACAAGCCCTCAAAATGACTCCTTATAAAATGTTCGCTCTTTCAACATTTCCTTTCTCAAAATAATATGAACCTACATTTCTAAACAATTACGTTTTGTGGTCACTTAACTGGAGAAATGAGGCCCGGCCGGCATTAAAGCAAACGTTATTCCAAAGTTCAATCACACCTGACACTTAATAACATAAAACAAGACCCAATGGTAAAATTGGGTGCGATTTTGAGATGAATGCACAAGGAAATCGATGTTGAAGAAATAAATCCATCACGCTGTTATAAGGAATTCTGGGTAGAAAACAGAAAAGCGTCTTATGTTACGAAGCCAACTTGCGTTTATGAGCGGGCTGCCCAACGCAGAAGGCTGCAGATGGTTACCGCGCAGCGTTTTCATCCAAGCCATTTGGGCCCACTTTTTTATGTCATTTTTCTTGTTCTTTTCAACCGTGCTGACAGAATTGCACATAAGTGTGCCCACACTAACAGTCCAGGATGGGATAAACAGCAAAAAGGTTGAGTAAGGACAAAAACCTTTCTGTTTATTGCAAGCCCGACCTGTTTGACCGGCAGAGAACGGAGTGGAACGCCATCAAAGATTGTTTGAGAGTGTGTGTTTACTTCATCCCTCATCCCTCTCAAAGTCATCCTTTAATGTCAATTGTGTCTTTATATTGGCCAGATATCTCCTTCCTGGCGTTCAGGATATGTTCGTGAGCTCAGGACTAATAAAAGACAGGAAATGTGGGTTCTTCGCAGACTGTGGACATTTCTCTAGCAGCAGGTGGAGCAGAGCTGGCTTGATAGCAGGGCTCATTTTCACAGTTCTGTCTGTGGTGAGAGCGAACTTTTCGAGCCTAATAGACTTTGGCTTCTGAGGAGGTTTTGCGGCCAGGTGCACGACGGGGTGTCCCCGCATCTCTTACATACCGTCCTGCGCGGAGCGGATGATTCCCTCCGGCCCTTGACTAATCTAGTTAATCATGCAGTCGGGCCCTGAGGCCAGACCAGCCAAAGCTAACTGGAAAGCACACAGAGACAACAGACAGGCGGAGGTGTTCCCTGAGCCGGCCGGATCGTATGCAAACATCGACAGGCCCAGAGACGCAGACCTCCCTGTCTGTGCGGGATTGTGGCCTTCACCTGCCGAGGGAACCGAGAGCGGCAGACCAGCGCAGCAGAACAGCCTCCCAAAATAATGAGACAAAACCCAGAAATACAGCCTTCTACCTCTCCAGAATGAGTAACGGTGACTTAAATTACACAAACAGAGAATGTGGGAGAGAGAGGAAAAACAGAGGGAGGAATGACAAAATATATTACGAAATATATTACTATATATTACAAAGACAATATATATTAAATATTCCTAAAATAACATACTGCATGCTAATCTTAATTAAAATTGATTGCACTTATAAAATACTAAAGAAAAAATAATTGAAATAGTGTGCACAAATAAATTGTCAAAATACATGTAATAAAATAATAAAAAATAATAAAAAAAATTATAATAGAGTAGAAAAAATAATTATGGAATGAAAAAAGAAACAATTAAAAAGAAAATACTAAAGATTTTTTTTAATATTGGACACAAATCAGTCAAATAAGACTTTATGTCGTAGACAAAACAGTTATGCCAAAAAATACTAAAAGAAAAATAAGAATTATAAAGAAATTACAAAAGAAATAATAATTAAAATGTCTATTTTTAAATATTGTATGCAATGTATTGTATTGCATGCATGATTATAAAAAAATAATTTATATTAGAATAAATTCTAATTAGAATAAAAAGAATAAATTTTTATATTATAGGCAAAACAAATGTGCCAAGAGCCATAGCCATAGAGACTAAGAGACAACAAGTAAGAGATAAAAAGAAATACAGTTATAAAGACAAAAAGAAAGATGAAAATCAGAGAATAATTAGAGGTTGAGAATGAAAGAGAAAAAGAGTGAGTGTGAAATAAACAAAGAAACAAAGAAAAGAAATACAGAACAAGAGAATGAGGCAGAAGAACAGAAACAAAGAAAGAGAGAAAGAGAAGACAGGAAGCGTTCATACTTCAGGGAATGATGCACATCACATTTATTGTCAAGCATTTGTAGACTAAATCAAGAGGCCCTGGAGCTCAGCAGCAAATGTGTAACACTGGGGAAAATTCATTTCAGACTGACATGGATTCCTTTTCATTACGCCGTGCCCCTTCATCTGGGGGAGATATCAAATCAGCCCTGTTTGTTGTGTTGCTGAGTTCCAGAGAATAAATCAAAAAAGCCAAAAAAACAAAGAGGAGGAGAAGAAGGATGAGCGAGAAAGAGATCGAGAGTGAGAGAGAGAGAGAATGACAGTTCTGTCAAGCGCTCCCGAAACATTCGGTTTGTTTTCTAGTGGAGTAATAAGAGCGGAAAAAATAAAACAGCTTGACAAGTCTCTGTTCCAGACCAAACTAAAAAGAGATGCAAATAATAACCATGATAAACAAGTCGAGCGCAGAGATCCCGGCTGTAGCGGGACACGTCTGTATCGACGGTGCTCTGGCAGAAGAGGCAAGCTTTTCAACACCGCTCGGAAGAAAATGACTGATGGAGATTCTTTACGCTCCAATTAGAAGTTCTGCAAGGGCTCTCCCACGTTCTTTTCCCACATCCTTTCAATCTGTCATCCGCATACAGCAGAAGCTCTGGTGAGTCCTTCTTTTCTTCTTCTGAACTCGTCTCAGCAGACCTCACAGGTAAGCTAGCATGCATTAATAAGACAAGCTCTTCTGTTTGTAGCGCCTGCTTGACCTTCCCAGGTTTCCTCATTCTTTCTTTTGAACCTTTAATCAATTCAGGTCAGAGCAATTTCTCTTTTTTTCCATAGAAACTTTAGAAGCAAGTCCAAGGGGAGTGATGGAGGCAACAAGAGCAAATTGGGGTTAAGTGTATCGCCCAAGGGCACCGCCACACCACAATCAACCGCTGAATTATTTCCCCCCGTCTAGCAGATACAGTTTTCCCCCCACCAGCCCCTCAGAAACACAGGTCCCGGATCATTAGAACCATCCTTAGAATGATTTACAGAGCAGGCCCTGGTAAAGCAGCATATAGTTTGTGTGTTACAACCTAAAGAAGTTGATTTGCAGTTGTAAGGAAGTGCAGGGGAGGAAAGTAGGCATACTGACCTTGAAAGCAGACTGGGAAGTAGACAGCATTCCAGTGAAGAGAAATGCAGAAGAAGAAAGAGAGAAAGAGAGGTGAAAATACACCTAGATTGAGCTGGGTTAACTTGGAAAGCTAAGACAAGAGTTAACAGCGCATGAGCCTTCACATGTAGACTTGCTGATAAATGCAAAGTGAAAGGAAAAATACATAAAAAATTAAAATCACAAAGATGATGGTAGAACCTGACAATGTGACATGCAATCTCACATGCTTCTTCCTTTAAAAAAATACAAAGTTAATGAAAACCATATGCATCTTTAGTAAGGCTGTGAAAAGTGATTATATGAGTATACAGATGAATTAATCCATTTATTCACAATTATACATCAAATTTGCAGAGAAGAGCATAAAATGGGCTTAAAATGTAATAACATTAATAAAAAAAAATTTAATTACAACTTACTATAAAGGAACATTCGCAGTCAGAATATTCAATTTGTCAATTCAATTCAATAGTCATTTTGTCAGAATATTCACATAGGTTTATTCAAAAATATCTAGACTAGAAATACAATAATATAATATAATATAGTAATATAATATAATATAATCCATACATCTATATACATTTTATCTGTATACTATATATAATAATAATAATATCTAAAATAGTATAAAAATCCACATTATATTACATAATATACATATTATATGTATTTTTAAAAATATTTTTATTCAATCATTTATCACTAAATTATATTATTATTATTATCATTATTATTAAATGTTTTTAATCTTTGGTGACATTCCTATTTTATTACAAAATATACTAGTGGGTGAAGTTGTAGATGTTCTGAGAGTGTTTTGTATGGCTTATGTTTCAATATTAAAATAACACTCAAAACATGCACTAAAGTAATGTGTTAAATTTAGTCCTTAAACATTTCCATAGAATGCACCGCATCTTTTCTGAAACTCAAAGGCGTATCATATTTTGAGACTCTGCTTCACTATCCTTACAAATAGTACTTCTTTTGTGCTTTTTTCATTTGTTTTACCTCTATTTCTTTGCTACTTGTCTCCTCTAGCTCACCCTCCCATTTTTGCTCCGTCTCAAACAGTGAGCCTTACAATCCTCCATAATTACCTGCAAATTTACAGCTACCGGATTTATGAAATAAATACCCCAATGCCCCAATTCACCCTCTGCCATTTTTCTGTGACTTTGAAGGCATTTTCGAACAAGGCCTGCCTCCGCACTACTGATCTGCAACAAGAGGAGCGTTGGCTTCTCCATCTCGGAGCATTCGGAGAAAGGTAATCCTGACTCTGAACAGAATGCGTCGCTTCTACCTGCCACTCGCATCTTGATTAAAGACGCAGGCGCTAACAGAAGAGGATCTGTCTGAACAACTCTCCGTCACAACCACATCAAGAGTGCTGGAAAACCACGACACAGGGAGAACAATGGGAGGTTTTTGAGAACCGAACTCCCCGGTGTGTTTCGAGAACATAACTCGACTCTGAGCGGTAATTAGCTCGGAGCGCCACGGTTAGCGATTGCGGCTGGTGTTTATTTCAGAAATCGTCTCTCGGTTGACATGAATGATGCATCGAGCCAAGCATATGGAGTTTGTTTTAGTCTAATCCTCTCCTAACGCAGATCTGTTAAGAAAGCGTGAGACATTCAGTGCGCGTCAGATGAATATTTATGAATCAACAGAAATCCACCTAAAAACACTTCTAGTATCCAACGGCGAGAGCAAATAAATGGCCCTGTCAGGATTCCAACTACAACACAGCTTTGAAAAGCCTGACGGAGGCTGAAAGGGAGTACTACACGACTGTCAATGCACAACATCAACATCTGTGACCTCCACGACTCTTCACCTCCAGCCCAGACTCTTGTCTGTTTACACTCAAGCCCTATTTCAAATTATTCATCTCCTTTATTTCTTTGTGAAAGCCAAGTCGAGAGAAGCTCTATATCTGCCTTCCATTAATTAGTCCAATTAAACAGGCCAAAAACACAGATGTTTACACCACCAACATAAAGTGCAACATATCCTGGGAGGAGCAGACATGCATAATAGTTGGAGCTCTTATTCTCCATGTCTATGAACACAGAAAATACACTGCCTTTCAAATGTTTCGGATCAGTAAGATTTTTAATGTTTTTAATGGAGTCTCTTATGCTCATCAAGGCTGTATTTATTTGATCAAAAATGCAGAAATAAACAGAAATACTGTGTAATATTATTGCAATTTCTAATATTGGTTTCCTATTTTAATATACTTTAAACTATAATTAATTTCTGTGACGCAGCGCTAAATTGCAATTACATTTTTTTCTGTATTTTTGATCAAATAAATGCAGCCTTGATGAGCATAAGAAACTTTTTTAAAAAACCTTAAAAATTTTACCGATCCCAAACTTTTGAATGGTAGTGTACTTCGGGAACAGAGCAATATGTTGGAGATTAGAACTAAATCTATGCTTGCAATGAATCTACCAGACAATGCCAGAATCCCATAATGCTGTGGGATGAGCGCTGAAGTTGCTCTCCAAATCTCCTGCAACTCAGTTCTGGTCTAACGCCAAAATAAACGGAGGATAAGAGATGACTGAGTGGGTGAGAATGGCAGCTAACAAAGAACACAAACAGAAGACACCCTCGTCTTCATCCTTGCCCCAAACAGCTCTTTTAGCTCTTGCTCTAAAACCAAAAAATGTTGAGGACATAGAGTACTAATGTGCACACAGTTGAAGTATACAATGATAAGGACACCCTAGAGTCTTAAATACAAAAAACTAGATAAAAAAAAAAAAACTCTTTTGAACTGAATTGGTGACTTATCTCTTAGTAGCGATATATAGAAATAGGTACATTTACACTAGGGGTGTCGCAATACTCAATACAAGGGAAATTTTTACTGACGCTGTAGAAAGGCTGATATTGTTGCTTTTATTTCAGAAAGCAATCATGAATCCTGCAGTGGAAACATGGCAGATGGAGAATGGAAAATAAATTGTGGAAGTTGCATAAATGAAAAATGGAAAAATATTGGGCTAAATACAAGATAAACTGAACATGGAACTGAAGATTACATGCGTAGCAACAAACGTGGTAAAACAGACACAAACCAAGAGGTTGCAAGTATCCGCTCATTTGGGGGTTTTATCCCCAAAAGTGACCTAAATCTTGCAGAACCTTACTTTGCGGAAAAAATTCACGAATGAAATAAATTATGTTTAAATTTAAAAAGGGTTTGGATTAGTCAATAGTAGCTACATAAAAACAACAGAAGTCTATATTGTCTTCATTACTCTTATACTAAGAGTAAACGTGTAAGTTTGTGTACCTCTCCAGCTCGTTGATCTTGCGATCCTTGTCGTTCTTCTCATTCTCCATCTCACGGAGGATTTCCAGGAGCCGGTCCACCTCGGCCTGTGCCTTCCCAGCATCCTCTTTGTAACGCGCCACCTCCTGCTCAAGTGTGGCAATGCGCTCCGACAGTCCTGCATTTGTCTGAGCCTCAACTGCGATGGATTGAGCCTGTAGGGGCCAAAAATAGAGTCTCAGGGGGCACGCACAACAAAGTCTGGATTTAAAAAAAAATGTAAAATAATTATAAATTAAAATAATAATACACTGATAAAATAAAATAAATTTACCAAATAAGATGGTAATAATAAATTAAGATGGTAAAAATTTTACAAATATTTATTTAAAAAAAAAACTGATTTCATTTTTTATCTGAGTTGAGACATATTTTGTCATGTTTGCCAGTAAGATGATTGATAAAATAAAATAAAATAATGAAAAAATAGAATAAAATAATATGACTGATATAGATAGAGATATCTACAAAGGATTAATTTTTCATCACTGAGTTGAGACAGATTTTGTCATGTGTTTTTGTGATTAACACCGCCAAGGGAACACCTAAAATAAAATGAGTTAATTAAAAACTTTTTAAATAAAATAAAAATTGACATTAAATTAGTGTTGTCTGAGATAAATTGTTTGCAAATATTTAATGTATTATTTAATCACACTGGAGTTGGTGTAAACAGGCCTTACACCCCAGAAAAAGTCTCAAAGCAGTTTTATAATGTCCTCCCCTGAATAGTTTGACAAGCTTTGGGTTTTGCACGGGTCTGTGCTGTGAATGGACAAGAAGACATGAGGCTCCCCTGACTTCAGCTCTCCAAAGACAAGCTGTCAGCGGTCAGACCACTGTCATGAGTGCGCGTGTGTGTGTGCGTCTGTGGGCTGTTTTGAGATCTCAGACACTTGCCACACACCTGCAGGCTGTGTGTAAGCTCCCCCATGACATCACGACAGGATACGCTCTCATTACAGGGACACATGGAAACACAATCATGCTGAAGTCATCAAAATAATTAGTGACATTACAGCCGTCTAAAGGGCCGGGTCAAGGGCCTCCTCTAATGAAAAGTAAATCAGTTCATTTCCCTGGACAATTAAAGGAGTCAGCCGTAATGTTTCTTTCATAAAAGTCCTCTAAAAGAACACAGGTGTCTTCCTGCTGCTGTGAAAACACAAACACAGTGCAGGGCTTTACAAGCTGAGGACACAAGAGCTCTGTGTCATTTACACCATGATTACATGCGCATAAATGAGTACATACCACATCTGAATGCAGAGGACATTCAAAGATAGCTTCAATGTGTCCAAAATATGGTTACAATACTAACCAGGCATGAAAAGTGATTAAAAAAAACTTTTTCCTCACTAGAAACCTGCTACAGTGCTGGTATAAAAAATACAGCAAAGTGTCTGGCATCCGAGGTCTCTTCAGACTGGCACTGTGTGAAAGAGGACTGTTCTGGTTTATTGGGGATAATATTTGAAGGTGACGTTTAGGCCCCGCTAATTAGCTTTATTAAAGTCTCGGCCTGAGGTTGAGTAGGTTTCCACTCTGACCGCCAAGAGCTTGTCATCTGTGGACGGGCCGGCTGGTGCATGAGAGTGTGTGTAAAAGGCTAAGTCTGGCAGAAAAATGAAAGTTTGTATACGAAAACATACGATACACACATTTAACGTGCAATTAGCATCAAGAATGTGTCAGAAAGAGGGCGGAGCAAAAAAAATCTGTCAGTACAAGGCACTTTCCACGAATAGGGTCTACAACGTTAAAATGATGTAAATGATGTAATTATTTATTTTCTTTTTCAACAAATAGTCAGTGAAAGGAGGTGCTTAACCGTCAGAAAATTGTAACAAAAATATACAACTAAAAAGTAAATATAATTTGAGCTGTTTATTTTCTATTCATTTCCTTCAAACGGAGGTTTACAACTTTTTCCAACCTGGTTACTAAAATTTGGGGTATAAATACAGTTTAATAACAAAAAGAAAAAATGTAAATACTTTATTTTTATTTTTTTTTAAATACTGAAAGTTATTTTCTATGAATTAAATCTGAAAATTAAATAGACAAAATGTAATGAATAATAAAATAAAATACATATAAAACAAAATATAACATAAAATAAAATAATGGTCGATGCAGATACTATTATCTAGAAAGGATTAATTTTTCATCATTTCAATGAGACACATTTTCTCATGTGTTTACCAGTCAGCTGACTGAACACCTCCAAAAAAAATAAAAATAAAAATAAATAAATAAAAATCTGAGTTTCAGGGGGCATACTCTTTTTATTTTATTTTTTTTAAATGAATGAATAACAAAAATGAATAAATAAAATAAAATAAAAATCTGAGTGAGTTGCAGGGGACAAACATAGTCTTTTATTTTAAAAAAGAATGAATGAATAAATGAATAATAAAAAATAAAATAAAAAATTAAATCTGAGTTTCGGGGCAAACAGTCTTTTTGTTTAAAAAAATGAATTAATTAATTAAAAATAAAATAAAATCTGAGTTTCAGGGGCAAACAATCTTTTTATTTAAAAGAATGAATGAATGAATGAATGAATGAATGAAAATAAAATAAAATAAAATAAAATAAAAATAAAACAAAATATAACAAAATAAAATAATGGTCGATGCAGATACTATTATCTAGAAAGGATTAATTTTTCATCATTTCACTGAGACACATTTTCTCATGTGTTTACCAGTCAGCTGACTGAACACCTCCAAAAAAATAAAAATAAAAATAAATAAATAAAAATCTGAGTTTCAGGGGGCACAATGCTGGTTTGATAGACTTATATTTGCCATAAATTATATAAAATAAATTATCATTTAAATTATAAAATAATTTTCTTATTAAAATAATGGGGAATGTTAAAGTTTGACAAATGCAGTTAAGCATTCAAAAAGTGTGTAAAAATGTGAAAATAGATTATTTACTTTTAGTACAATAAATGTCAAAATAGCAACTTTGTTGCATGATTTTAATTGGCAGATGCATCCTTGAATATATCTAACAATTAAAGGAGGGATATAGATATTGATGTGTTTAAAACAAAGTGTACCGTATTCTTGGAATGTGCTACATTCTTCTGATCACATGAAAAGCATGTGTTCAGGACCACTGACAAACCCCTTCACAATACGGACACAGATGTGTACTTTGAACATCAGAAAAAAGGACAAAAAAGAAAAAGTGACAGCGAGACAGACAGACTGGGTAGGAAATAACTAGCATCTGTATACAGTTATTAGCGGGTGTCTGCTTGTAAGCTCCATGAAGCTTGTTGGTATTGGAAAGCCAGAGCGGTCAATCCATACGGCACCATCTTTCAAAGGAACAACCAGTGTCCCAGAGTGCACCAAACAGGGGCTTGTGGGAAATGCGGTTTAATAATGTTGTTTAATAATGTGTTTGTGCCTGTGCCTGTTTGGCCGAGCAAAATAAAAGAGCGGCTGTGTGAAAACAGCACACATTTGCAGTGTTTATATGCATTTATGTTGACTTTCTTGACCTATAAATGTTCTTGCGAGACAACATCTCGGTGTTGAATGATATAAAAGCGCATGTGTGCGCAGCAGGGGATATAAAAGAGAGTTTTGATGTGCGTCCATATGAAGTAGTTGAGGAAGTGCATTGGGGAACTCTTGGCTGGTTTGAGTAATGTAGACTGTTGGATGTCTTGGTGGCATGTCTGTTCTCATTTCGTGAGCCGCGCTGACACCTCCATCTTCATACACTCCTGACAGTCACGCGGGGACAATCGAGGCCTCCACCCCTTTTCTGTCTCATCCAATCACAGCAGATGCCCACCGAGCTGTCAGCAGGTTTTTACTTGCACTGCGAACACAGACGCACACACGCTGCCAGAGATTTCATTACTCTTGGAACGGACGATGGGACCCAGATCTTCTCATCGAGCCATGCAAAGAGCTCTGAATATGCGTACGGAGGTGACCGGTTCATACGAGAGCTCAGCATCACCATTCAGAACTAAATGTACTTGCACAGATTTCATTGCAGTCTGAAAAAACTAACAACCACAATCGCCTACATACACAGAAGAACACAGACTATGAACACTTAAGCGTATGAATATTTACAGGAGTGATTTAATTCAAGATGTCATCATTTACTCAGTCATGTTGTTCCAAACTTGTATGACTTTGTTCTGGAAAACTCAAAAGGAGAAATTTTGAAGAGTGTTTATGCTGCTCTTTTCCACAAACAAAAAGACAGACTGTCAAACTTCAAAATGCACAAAAAACACTATAAAAATCATTATAAATGCCATTACAGTTTCAATTTTGGGCTTGAGGGTGTATATAGTTTGTTTGTTAGTTTGTTTGTTTGTTTTTTCACCTGAAAATGGAGAAATTACATAAAATGAATAGGTATATGACAATACTGTCTTGAATTGCTAATTGTAAATATAAATTTACTTTAAAAAAAGACACAAAAACATTAAACAAAATGTATTTCAAACTACAGTACTCAACATTTGAAGTGGATCAAAAAAGTTAATCAAAGTCAAGAACGCATTTTGGTATTAGGTTTTAGGACAACTTTGATGAAAGGTTTTGATCCACTTCAGATGTTGACTAGTATATTTTAAAATAAAAGGCATTTTAATTAAGTAAAACAAAATAAAATAATAAAATGGTAGTAGTAGTCAGGGTTAGTTTAGTATCATTGAGATACTATTATAGTTTGTAACTGTTTTAATAAATTTTTATTTTTATAATTTTAGTTAAGGGTTTACGACATTTGTTGTGTGTTTTTGACATCATTCTTAGTTATATACATAT